CAACCTCCTTCGCCACCAGGAAGACTCCAGAAGGTCCACCTGGGGAAGGCCGGTCCAAGCCGACACAACCTGACACGCAGAGTGTCAGAACAGAGCAGCCGCAGGACGCCCAAGGCTCCTTCGGCTCCACGGCACTGCCACGGTCCACAGAGCGCCGCTGCAAGATCCTTCTAGACTCCGACGCATGTAGACCGTAGACACATCTCCCAAACCACCATGTACCAAACCTATCTCGGTGTATAAGGGATAAGATCAGACCTTAGGGGGGGGATTGAAAGACAGATCATTCGACTCCTCATCGGTCCACTCCTGCTCAGCAACGAGATCAGAGCAACCCAGGGAGAGGCACCGAGAGCTCCTCCGCCGCACCCGTCGTCTTCCTCCTCTCCGATGAGGGGAAGGCTCCACCGGTGGCGAGGTAACCTTAGGATTAGCACCGAGCTAACCCCCTACCAAATTTCTCTCTACACTCTGTTGTGACCTCCCGATTTTAGGTGCTCTTTAGTATATGGATCATCAGTTGCTGGACATAGGGCATCGATCAGCTCGAATCAGGATAAATCGTTGCGTACCCTCTGTGATTCTTGTGTTCCTGAATCCACCTGACACTGACTCGAACAACAATGCTGGCCGCGGTTTCGACCCGCGACAACATGAAACCAAACGGGCCCTACCAGGCTAGCCAAGAAAAAACAAATTGCTAGCCAGTTGTTCGGTGCTAGCTGGCCACGTGAAGCAGGAGAATGCCACAATCTCGTGGGCCCATACTGCCTTTTTTTATTCTGGCTACCGGTCAAAAGCATCTAGATAGAAAATGTATTTCATTAATTAATTTTAACACTAGTTCCACGTCTGACTAGAGCCTTGTTAGCTGTCGACTTCAACAGCACTGTTGTGAACGTCCTAAACCAGCAGCTTGTTACCGGTGTCGCACTGTTGTTGCAGCATTGATGGTGGATACCAAGATGACGCATACGGCGTTCTCATGGAACCAGGGCACCAGGCGGATGCTAAGTGAAGAGTGATGTGACATGCGTTCATGGTCTCTGGCAAACTGCAAAAACAATCGATAGAAGCACAGAAACATTGGACTTGAGTGGCATAATCATTAACAGATATATGAACCGTGTATGTTGAGTACTCATATGTCGTATTTGTCGTGGCTCTTTGACTTTGTAAATTTGGCTACCACTTGACTTCCTTAAACAAGTATTAAAACATGATACTGTAATAATAAGGAACAACATATAACGTGGTAGTGGCACATTCCAGTACAAAAGGAAATTGTGATTCAACAACAATAGCAATCTCCAACAAATTAAGCCTCGCTAGAACATTATTCTGAAATACCATATTTAGAACGGTAGAACATAGAAAAGGGCACTGAAATAACTTGTTCACTTAACAGTCGAACTAAATAAAAGCAAATACTTATTCTCGTCATCATGGTCCATCCGTCAATTGGTTTATTAGAGCAAGCCTACTCAAAGTTGCCGGCTGCAGTCCAGGTAGTTCACTTCACTTGTCTTCATCAATCATCATCAGCAGCAGGTGGCAGCATCGGCGCCAGCGAGCTGCCCGCCGCCGCTGGTGCACCTCCAGGCCACAGCGCGTACACGTCAGTACGAGGCCCCAGGTCCATGACGTCTGGCACGGATGGCAAGCCCAACTACAGCGTGAGATCCAGCGACGGTGGTGGCAGTGGCACTGCTGTCACTTCCTGCATGGTCGGGGCTACAGGTGCCGGCAGTGCCGGTGGTGCTACAGCTGGCTGGTTAACATTCTCACACTAGAGACGTAAGTACTCGGACATGGGCTCCACATAATCAGCAAATCCGAGGTTAGCTAAGCCGACGATCAGGTCATCGGTGGTGATAGTGAGGCGCCCATCTCGTCGGCACTCCTGCCTGGCCGCCCGTGTGAGGACCGCAGAGAATTGCACGATGCACTTGTCCAAGGTCTTTTTGGCGCCACTGGTGACCCTTGAGTCTTGTGGCAGGACTTGACACATGATACGCGTTATGGTGCCTTTCGGGATGGTGTACTCTTCAGGTGGTTTCGATCCTGCAGATGTAAAAAAATTATTAGATGCATCATGTCATATTCACCAAGTATACGAAGAGCTCCACCAAAATTATACCAAAAAATTATTTATTGAAACAGATGTAATATCAACAACTCGACTATGTGTTTTCTGATCGATTGTCAAGAAAATGACTAATGGTGTAATAAGTTCCAACTCGCTATTTTGTCAGTACCGCTTGCGGGCTTCTTAAATCCTTTTTAAAAAAGGAAAGGACATCTTGGTCTAACTTGTTTCTTTGTCGGTAGCGCTTTATATAGCCCGATCTAGCTACCGACAATGAATTGTTTACATACAAAATCTCAAACTGCTAGCGACAATGTCCCTTGTCCTCCTAAGAAATATCATCAGTGTAATAAAACTCACCTTCAGGTTCGTTATGGTACAGGCGTAGGTACTCGGTCATGAGCTGCACATAGTCGACCAATCCGAGGCTAGCAAAGTTGACAATCAGGTTGTTGCCGGTGATAGTCAGGCGCCGGTCTTGCCGGCACTCCTGCATGGCCGCCCGTGTGAGGGCCGCAAAGAATTGAATGATGCACTGGTCCATGGTCTCCTTGGCGTCCACTAAAATTGCACAAAAAACTATTGAAACAGATGTAAATCAACAACCTGGCTATATATGTGTTTTCTGATTGTCTAAAAATGACCAACAACCTAATAAGTTTGAACTCGCTAGTACAAGGTCACGATGGTAGAAAAACTCACCTTCAAGGTCATCATGGTGATGATCATTTGCTAGAGCATTGCGCATGGCTCTTGTATTCTTGTGTTTGTTATTCATTGAACAAAGTGCATGTATTTATAATCATCTAGTGAAGAACGAAAGTTACACGTGTCATATTTGATTTTTGCATGCCTGCCACTTGTCGTTGATTGTATATGGTACCATCTAATGAATAGACATGTCATATATATTTTTTGCATGTGTGCCACTTGTCGTTGCTACGGTAACTATCTAATACTCCCTCCGGTTCTCTAAAGCAAGTCGTTTTGGACATCGACACGGTCTTTAAGAAATGACTTTGACTGCAACTTTTTGCTATAAAATATAGTCAATATATACTTTTATGAAACTACATCTATTTACATCACTTTCATATTTTCAAACTCAATCCAAAAGAAGTTATTTGTAGTCAAAGTTTAAAATGTTTGACTTAAGACAACTTCAAAACGACTTGCTTTAGAGAACCGGAGGGAGTATAAGATTTTTGCATGTGTGCCACTTGTTGGAGCAGGCTTCGTCCTTTTCGGCCCCACCTCTATTCTCTTCATGCCATCCATTCAGTTATCTCACGCTGTGTATTCATTTTTTTTTTGACAGCAGGTGTTCGTCGGCTTCTCTCTGGCGGCCAAGCGGAAGGTAAGTATCGAACGACTTTTCGAACTGGACAAGAGCGAAGGGCCACATGGCAAAGTCAGGGCGACACCAAGGTGGCCCGTGACGGAAGGGGCGCGAGCGAAATGACCAGTCACCAGATGAGACGAATCTGCAGCGGCGTCAAAGAGCAACTTCAGACCCGGCAGTCCTCACACGTCGGGGGTGGACAAACAATTGTTAATTTTTTCATTAATAATTAACACCCTCCATATATACATGCCGCCAACCCGTCATGATTCACCTGAAAGCTCCCCGCACCTCAAAGGCAAATGGGAAAGACTAGCGCCCGGACGTCCGGACGCGGCATTAGTCCGGACGGCCGGACCTCTTACGCCGCACACGCTGACGCGCTCTGCGGCAGAAACGGCAGTGACGACTTCCCGGGATGCATGCGCCAACGAAGGGACACGTGCATCGCGCCTCCGCCTCCCACTTTGCCTAGGCGGGCCCCACAACACATGCATGCGACTCTCTGCTCTTCGCCAAGCCACACCTTGCACTTTCTGTAGCGATCTTTAATGTCTGCCACAAGATGTGGGGTTGCTGCTACCGCTGGCTTCCTGCAAGGCACCGCTGTGCCCACTTCCCACGCCTAGTCATGCAACACTTGCAACATAAAGCATTTGTTTTGCAACATACGTCCAAATAGATAAAACATTTACAAACATATGCTTGCGACATATGTGTATGGCCACTACAACATATGTAACATCCAAATAAAATACTTGCAACATACATTTAAAACAGCTAAAACATTTGAAACATACACTTTGCAACATACGTGTATAGCTAGTGCAACATATGCAACATCTAAATAGAACACTTGCAACATACGTTTGAACAGCTGAAACATTTGAAACATACACTTTGCAACATACGTGTATAGCCAGTGCAACATATGCAACATCTAAATAGAACACTTGCAACATACGTTTGAACAGCTGAAATATTTGAAACAAACACTTCCAACATACATGTATAGCCATTGCAACATATGCAACATCCAGATAAAACACTTGCAACATACGTTTGAAACAACTGAACCATTTGAAACATATGCTTGCAATATACGTGTATAGCCATTGCAACATATGCAACATTCAGATAAAACACTTGCAACATACGTTTGAAATAGCTGAAACATTTAAAACATACACTTGCAACATACGTGTACAACAATTGCAACATATGCAACAACAGATCTACTCAAATCTACATTTAAAACATCTAGATAAAACATATCCAACATACATTTGATGAAACGCATGAAAACATACAGTTACAACATGTTCTCATCTACTTGCGGCCCTCCAATTGAGGCTCATTGACGCGGAACTTGACGCCAACACGGAGCTCGAGGTCACCTGCGGTCGACTCGCGGCCGTGGTGGGAGAACGCAGCACAAGGCGCGCGGCGTGGGGGCAAGCGGGTCGGTCCGTCCGTAAAAGGACGGAGGCCAGGGTATCATTATCGAAGGCAAATTGGTACTGCCGGACGTGTATGTCTATCGGAAGAAGCTAAAGTAATGTATTGGATTTACTGCAAATATGTGCTATCAGATTTAAGCCAGCGGGATCCCACTGTCAGTGTCAGCCATGGTTCCGCACTAAACTGAATTTGCAAACAATAAAATGGAAAACATAGTCATATCAGAGTCGTTCTGCTCATATTGTGACAAACTGGCATGCTTCACAAGTTCACATCAAACACCACTGCGACTGCCATCAAGACGTTAAACCAAGTACAACGCCGTTGAACTTGAACAGCCTATCAAAGCAAGCTCCAACATCAGGAGATGCTTAGGTATCCTACCCCTGTTCCTTCTTTTATCAAGCAAAGGTTACTCTGAGGAAGACTAGTACGAATGGTGTCAGTTTACAACAAGTACAGCTGGTACCCACAGAAGAAAAGGCGCCAGTGCTACTATGCCTCTTTAAAACCAAAACTGTCAAATATGCCCTGAAATTGAGAAGACTAAATTTAGCCTCGACACAGAATTGTAGACTGGTGGATTCGACTGGACAGAGGCGTTTAGATTTCAAAAGAATCATATAAAGTCAACTAACCTCGGCATCGTTGATTCCATAGGCCACACAGTAGTGTTCCTGAAAGCAGAAGTCGAAAGTTTCAGATGCAGAAACACACTTAATTTAACAAAACAATGAGCAGTACAGTATTTCTCAAGGGGGTCATATACCTGCATCATATACCACTCTTCAAACTCATCAAACAGTTCTAGTCGTTCAATCCTGCATCCATTGCAGGCAGCCTTATCAGTTGTGACATCATGGAAAGGTGCAGTATAACAAAAGCTGGAAACTGAGTTCTCAACCAGGATCAAATTTGAAACACTAGAAAATGCGAACAACTCAATGGGGGTGAGCATCACATTCAATAGGTAAGATGTTTTCTCCAGTTCACATGATTGTACCAACCAGCATCGTCCAACAAAATATTTTAGTTTCAGTGATCTCTCATCACTTTCATCCTCTTTTATATTTGAAAGCCAAAACCTTATTTTTGTGTTTCAGTACTATTTATAGAATTATAGATATCACTAGAAACATTACCTGCGTCTTTCTTGACTGTCAATGAAGTCATTATAGATTTTCAGCATATCCCATGCAACAGCTCTCTGAAAAAATGATCATAAGAACCCCAGTCCCCAGGAACTATAACATTTTGATATGCTAATATTTCATTCATATTATCACTAATGTACCTGCCATCCATTGCCATGAAAAAGTTTCTCCTTGTGACTCAAGGTTGGTGTAGCATTTATACCAAGGAGGGGGCATCCTCTACTCTGCATCAGCAGGATGACAGATGGCATTAGGTGATATGTTAATGCTAAAACAAAAAATGATTGACACATCTATACTGAATGGTACAGACTAGAGCAAGAGCTAACCAAATACAAGCACCACCAGAGTATGCAGATTTAACCCAAGTTTTTGACTGAACCTTAAGCCAAAGGGTTCATGTGCCACAGTGAATTAAATGTTACAGTGGTTCATGGAAATACATAGAGTAAACAGATACCTCAAGATTTCTAATCATTTGCTCCCCAAATGCATCATCAGGATGAATCTGCATCAAAACATTAACCATCAATTCCAAAGGCTACACCTAAGAGGCAAAATATAGTACACCATGAGAATGATTCGACCTGCTCATATAAGAAAAAGACAGCAGTGGAGAACTTTTGAGATGCCCAACTCACGATAGCACCAGCGGCAGTCGGGTCCAGGTAAATAAGCACACACTCTGCAATTATAAAGGTTGGCAAGCTGATAACAGAAAGTTATATCAAACACTTGAAAGCTTGGTTTATATTAAAAAGATATAGAAACTACATCATGCACGTATCCTACTGGATGGTGTCCCTCTATTGTGTGGCATATTTTCTAGTTCAACATGTTTTCGTATCAGAAGAGATGGATTACACATAGTGGGTAGAAAATAAGCTTACCTAGGATCCATTTCAGCCATTCGAATAACTGAATCCAGTTTTGGTATGTCACGAATATCAGCAGAAAATAGCTTGTAATGCGTACTTATCACTTCACCTTTTTCTGAAATAGATGGATAAGTTATTGCGCAGGCTACAGGCACATCAAGAAAAAGAAATGTCCAATTCTGTAACATGGAGTGGTCACTCCAACTTGCAATTCTGATTTGAATCTGAAAGAACTATTTTGCAAAAGTTCATTATCCAGTTGAAGTTTTGAAGTTCTCACAACGAGACAAAGAGAGTTTTCTTCCAAACAGGATGGAACGGCTACTCTGAAACCAAATGAAAAAGGAACTTTTTCTGCTATGGTAACTAGTACTTTATGCTTCTCCAAGGACCATTCATTTGCTACTATAAATCAGCGGATACACACTAGCTGAGAACTAGACAAAAGGTGACTTGAATTTTCTGTATGGAATATAAGACTTTACTACTGCTACTCAGTAAACAACACATCTCCTTGTATGTGTTTAAACACAAATGTCTGTGAGATACAACAGAAATAGGATAAGAGGCAGACATCTAGTGAATAATTGACAAATAGATAGTTCTAAAAGGATAGTTTACTATAGTGCATGAAATAGTTTAGAAGTTTGGGTCAATCCAATTACAAATTTGAAGGACCCAACATGCAAAAAGGGATGATACACAGAGAGTAAATGAGAGAAGTACCGATTGAAATTGAAGCTTCTGAGCCTAACTTTTCCTTCATTTCACTATAGTGGTTAATGATGGCGGCCTTTTTGCTGGTTACCTGCCAAACATTTGCAGTTGACAGATATTACTAGCGTGCACAAGGGTGAGAAGATGCAAGTGGGAAATATTCGATAACTACTAGCATGCTAAATCACAACACAAGAATTACATTGCATCAAGGAGTAAAGTGCACTTCAGTACAGAAATGAGAAATTCCAATACCTCCTTGAAATCCAGTTCTACATAAAGGTGTGGAGCCATCCCTTCATCCTTGGGGTGTGAGAAAAAACAAGAACCAAAAAGGAATCGATCAGTCACATCAACACGAATTAGATCTCTGTCCTGTGGGGATAATAATGGGATTAAAGGACTAACTTGCAACTGGAAGAATGTTGTGTCAAAGCCAGCACCAAGAGATAATATTTGTTTCGGCTTCTCACTGTCATTATTCTTCCCCGCAATGAGGAACTCATGCAGAAGCTTCCTGAGAACAGACCAACGTGCATAATACCCTGCCAGTGATTTGGAAAGGACAAGGTTCAAAGTTCCCATATACTTAATACATCACCAGAATAAAGACAACATCCAGAAGCAGTACCTACCACGATTGATTATTGGAGCCCTCCTTGTTGGTCGCCTAACAAAAAACCGCACATAATCATCCTTCATGTATCCTTTGTTAACACAGGACCTGCAAAACAAGTTAATATGCCATGTTGGTAACAAATGCTGTGGCAAATACCTAGTTTGCAACCAGAATGCTATCTAAGTTTGGAACCATTCCCACATTTTGCATAATCTGCAGAGCATTTTGCAGGGTCTTAAGATTGATTTCATCCCATGGCGTAAATTGCAGTGACTACAGGTGCACATGAGCCTTCTGAAGTGTTCAGGGCTGACATTTTGGCCACTTTGCGTATCAAGTATCAAGGACAGAAGCCCACATAAGTACTTAAAGCTGTGGCTTGAACTCGCTATCCGCTAATCATCCACACAAGAGATAGTTCAGTTGACAACGAACTGGTAACTGGGGCATACCTCTTTCTTACCTTTATATTGATTTCTTACACAGAAAAATAAAAATGGAGCATTTTTCTATAGCACTGTATATCCCCTTGCCGCAAAGAGAGACTTTCACATCAAAATTGGAGTGACAAGCTACCCCAATTCATCTTCCTAACAAGAGAACCGTGCATCGTGTTACATGCTTATGAGCCAGGCTCAAGTGCTTTGTAGTTCCTACGCCGATTCATTGCAACCAAAAGTGTATAATTATCGACAAGCAAGCGGGCCCAACAAACCAGCCGCGCCTCTTCCATCCACCACCCAATTGCAACGGAGGAAACAAATTAGCCGCACAACGGAAACCATCGCATCTCTGGGAGAGACAGGGGAGGAGGAAGGGAAGGGGATTACAGCTTGCTGGCCGCGGCGTCGTCGTTGGTGGCCTGCACAGCCGCCGGGCTGCTCCGCCTGGCGGCGCTGCCTCCCCCACCTTCTGCTGAAGCTGACGCCTCCATCCGGCTGGGGCGCGGGTCGATCGATCAGGGCGCCGCCGGCCGCACGCACGGACGGGACGGGCACGGGTACGGGGAGGTGGGAGTCTGGGAGAGGAGAGCGGCGCCTGAACCGCTGGACGCCAGCACACGGCACGTAGACGGACGGAGCAGAGAGCAGAAGACGCAGGCAGAGGCTAAACAGCCCAAGAACGCAACGCGATGTGGGCCGGAAAGATGGGCCTGCAAAAGAATACAGTCCGAGCAGTGTTTCCCCCCTGTTTTTTCCTAATAAATCGGTTATAGAAACAATAATGGGATTCATTACACATGATGTACTTTGGCTATTAAACACGCATACCCTTTCAAAAAAAAAAATCAACACCCAAACAGTTGAATCAAGATTCATATATTGCTTATTCTAAAAAAAAAGATTCATATATTGCTTAATTTGACTGGATGATTCTGTTTTACCGGTCGCCCTACGCCCCTACCTGAACCCAATCTGCTGCTGGGAAATATATGTTAGTATATCCGAATACCCACACGGCCACACCTTCGGCTATAGAAACGAATGCTCGGCTTGGAAATGCAGCCTTCCACAATCCGCGAAATTGGTAACAGACACCTGGTGTACAATCTGTTTTGGTCCTGTTCGCTTTACTCTGTTCGTTGATTTATTGTTCGAGAAAAATATTATTCTTTCGTTGAAAAAGTACGGCTCATAAGACAAGGCCTTACTAGCTACAACCTCTCCATTTGATGATCTTGCGGTACTCGCTCGCTATCTTCCTTTTTTTCCAAATAAATAAAGCGCGTTCAAGTTTGATTATATTCGATCTGTTCGTTTCGTCGTAAACAATCGTAGATTATTTACTGCTGGCTGGTTTGGTGTGAGAGGAAAATACTGTTGTAGCTTATAATCCACGATCGTATACGATCGTAAAAGCCCAGCCGAACAGGCTTGATTGTTCCCTTTCTCTGGACCTGAATTAGTAGCTGATGATTGATGCGTCCAGTAACTGGTTTCATGCCTAATATGTCGTAACTCGTAAGTAATCAGGTGCAAATAAAGGGACTGCTATGCATGAGGTTTGCTGTTGCAAAGGTTATAGCATATCCTTTTAAGAGCTTAATTATATCAGTTTCTTGGGCCGGCTCTAGTTCCTGTCATCTTGTGCTTTCGATGAATTACATTGATCTAGCCTAGAAATACTTTTCGGGCTTTTTCGGGCTCTTTAGTAAAATATCTAGTCTAGACCTTTTAGGCTCTTTAGTAAAATCTTTAGTTCAAGGGCTTGAATCATGTCCTCTAAATCATCTTCATCCCTGACAAGTGCTCCGCCATCATTATTGGCACCACCTTCGTCGTTTCTATCCCAACCACCAGCATCACCACCTTGTTTATTGCCAAAGTCGGGATCCATTCGTGCATCAAGCTCTGCTGAATATTGGGACAGGGATTCTAGGGTTTCGTCGTCGTATTCCTCCTCATCCTCGTCGTTAACAATATCCGTTTCACCATGATGAATCCACACTGTATAGTCCTCAACAAATCCTCGTATAATCAAATATGATCTGATGATAGTCACATTTGTCCATGTCATACGGTTCTTCCAATCTTTACAGGGATAAATAATTGTATCGTTATTCTCTGTCAACATCGTTGCATGCTTTTCTGCGGCTTCAATAAATTTATCCACCTCTTTATGGAAACCTGCCTTGAACCTTAACGAACCATACATCCAAGAGCTCCTGTACTCCAGCTTTTACAACAACAATAAAACAAACATTAAAGGACTAGTTATTCAGATATATATAAAAATAAATCAAATTAATAATTATTTGAGAATAATTGTATATACTTCAGATATATATGAATATAAATCAAATATAATTACATGAAGCATACAAACACACCATGGTAGATGAAAATTAATTAATGGCCTATTTATCCATAAATAATTAAAATACATATTTGTTGATTACAATAAACAATTTCAAAGACAACAATTAGCAACAATTATATTTTACCCAATATCTTTCATGCAAACTGTAGTCCAATTTCATCAAACATAAATTTACAAAAATGAAATTAATAAAAAAAACCAAACCCTAGATCTGGATCTAGATCTACATGTATATGAAACATCCATAAAAATAACTAATTGTTCACTAAAATCAAGAAACATGGACCAAATAAGGGTATGATCTTGTTCCCCTACCTAATTTACCCTAGTACATTCAAAACTTGGGTCTAATTTGCTTCATAAGTAGCTCAACACCATAGAAGAGAGAGAAAAGTAAAACTCTAATTACTCAATAACCAACCATTAAAACTTCAAAAAAAATATGGAATAACATTTTCTTACCTTCTACAACCTCTCCACCAGAGAATTTGAGACCAAAACATTTCCCTCTTAGCAGAGCAATTTTTGGGAGGTGCCTAAGGCCTCTCAAGCCTTTTTTCTCGGATAAGAGTGAGTGAACCGAGGAGAAAGAATGGGGCTACAGCCATTTATACATCGGACATTTATAGGGGCTGCTGCTGATTGAGCCGTTCCTACAAATCGAACAGTAGGGGCGGCTGGTGAGTGAGCCGCCCCTACAAATCTACCTATTTGTAGGAGCGGATCGTATCACCAGCTGCCCCTACTGTTAGATTTGTAGGGGAGGCTAGAATCGTGGGACCCGAGCTTACCCACTGAAGGGGCGGTTGGTGGTGGAGTCGTGCCTTAAAAAAAAAGTCCCAGTTGCTAAAAAATCGTTTATGTAGCCGTGACTGTTTAGTACTACGTTCGTAATAATGATTGTTTTCCCTGCAGCACAGCAGGTCAGCAGCGGGGCCGAAAGTGGATTATTGTCCTTATAAGCTCATCAGTCACGGCAAGTACTTTGCAACTCTCGCAGCGTGAGCGATCCATCTCCAGCTCCCTGAAGCCTGCATCGACGTCCACCACCACTACGTAAGTATTTAAAGTCTGTTTTCTTTGTTTGTTTTGGTCCTGTTCGCTTTACTCTGTTCATTGATTTGTTGTAAGAGAAAAACATTATTCTTTTGTTGAAAAAGTACGGCTCATAAGACAGGGCCTTGGTAGCTACAACCTCTCCATTCGATGATCTTGCGGTACTCGCTCGCTAGCTTCCTTTTTTTTCCCCAAATAAATAAAGCGCGTTCAAGTTTGATTATATTGTTCCCTTTCTCTGGACCTGAATTAGTAGCTGATGATTGATGCGTCCAGTAGCTGGTTTCATGCCTAATATGTCGTAACTCGTAAGTAATCAGGTGCAAATAAAGGGACTGCTATGCCATGAGGTTTGCTGTTGAAAAGGTTATAGCATATCATTTTAAGAGCTTAATTATATCAGTTTCTTGGGCCGGCTCTAGTTCCTGTCATCTTGTGGTTTCGATGAATTACATTGATCTAGCCTAGAAATACTTTTCGGGGGATGAGTCAAACTAGTTCATATCTAGGGAGATATTAAATAGGCATTTTTTTAAGAAACGTAATATTAGCCGGTTCACACTCCAAACGCCCAAATTTACTGGTCGCTACTACTGTGAAATCCCAGTCATTTGCTGTGAGATTTTGCACCAATTATTTCTATTATTTTCTCATATATACGGAGAGACTATCGGTTTACAGTCAAGACGAAGTTGATGCTGGAGCCGAAGTGCTGAGAGTTCAAGGAGTTGTTGTCCGGCCTTCTACCTGGAGCGCAATGACCATCATGTCCTAGCGTCCTTCGCCGACCTCATCGTGTGCAGGTGGCTGACCAAGCGGAGGAAGCTGCTCAGAGAGAGGAGCAGGAGGTAGGATTGTAGGAAGGGGAGCGGTAGCACTATGGATGAAAACGGTACGGATATTTATTCGACCGTCCGTTCGACCGAACAAATATGAACACTTATCTGGATAGTTACTCGGATATCCGTAATTTTTTTCGGATACGGATACTAAAACGGATATCTTAGGCGGATATCAAATACGGATGTAATATCATCGATATCCGGCGGATATCGGATAATCCGGATAAGTATCGGATATATCCGGATATTTAAAAACGGATATTATCCGGATATTATTCAAACGATCTTAGATGGAGAAATGATCAAAATAAAAATTGTAGATCTCAAAAAGTTATGAAACTTTGTTGTTTACAACTTTTTCGTTTGAAATCATTTAGTGCTTCAAAATTTAAACCGTCCAAACTTTCTCAAATGGAAAACTAGTTTATAGGCGTCAAAATTTAAAAATCACAAATTTGAACCATCCAAACTATCTTAAATGGAAAGTTGACCAAAACAACAATTGTAGATCTTGATGAGTTGAACAAACTTGGTATTCAAAACTTTTCAATTTGAAGTCATTTAGAGTTCATAATACTAGAGTCAAAGTGTTGTTTTTTCATTTGACCAAATTTGACTTGGTCAAACTTGCTCAAATGAGACACTAAATGATCTCAGATGACAAAACTCTGAATACCAAGTTTGATCATCTCAGCAAGATCTACAATTGTTACATAGCTCATTTTTCCATTTGAGAAAGTTTTATCAAACACTAGTCACAAATTAGATTTTCTTAAACTATGTCACATATTTGTGAAATTTAAACTATATTTTGTTCAAACTTTCTCAAATGAAAAAATAACCTATATAAGGATTGTATATATTGATGAGATGAACAAATTTGGTATTCAAAACTTTTCAATTTGAGACAATCTAGAGTTCCGAAAACTAGTTTGTAAACATCGGAATTTAAAAATCACAAATTTGAACCGTCCAAACTATCTCAAATGGAAAGTTGACCAAAACAACAATTGTAGATCTTGATGAGTTGAACAAACTTGGTATTCAAAACTTTTCAATTTGAAGTCATTTAGAGTTCATAATACTAGAGTCAAAGTGTTGTTTTTTTATTTGACCAAATTTGACTTGGTCAAACTTACTCAAATGAGACACTAAATGACCTCAGATGAAAAAACTCTGAATACCAAGTTTGATCATCTCAGCAAGATCTACAATT